TTCTTTTCCATATCACTGGCACAAGTCCAGCATTTCTGGAAGTGAGTATCTGAACATGCCCCCTCGGTCTGCTCAGAAGGACATTTGCTGCTCCAGGAGATGCACAGAACTCGAGAGGGGGTTGTAAGCGGCAGGCACGATGCCCGAAAGTTTCCCATCATCCCCGCTCCTCGTTTGTTACCCATCGCTTGACTGAGTATTGAGTCTTAAAGACTAAAATGCTGCCATCAGCGCCAGCCACCCTTTCCGATCAGCATGTTCCTTCTCTTCCCTGGCACACAGTTAGACCCTCTTAATGTCAGAGCATTACACAAAAAGTGGGGGATACTTGTTAAATCATCTCCCAAAGCTCCTTCCTGCTGTTTAATTTTTTTTCTTTCATTCCCTTCCTCTTTTCTCTCTCTCTCTCTCCCCTTCCTCCCCCCTTTCTCTGCTGAAGGGTACACCATTAAGCCGAGCTGATTTAAGAGCTGTCAACATCAACCTCTGTGACATGTGCGTCATCCTGTCAGCCAATCAGAATAATATTGATGACACTTCACTGCAGGACAAGGAATGCATCTTGGCGTCACTCAACATCAAATCTATGCAGTTTGATGACAGCATTGGGGTCTTGCAGGCTAATTCCCAAGGTAAGGACTGCCCTATAAGACTTCTCCTCCATGGTGCCTTAAGGGGACAGGAAATGGCAGGAAGAATATCTCTCACTCAGTAATTCAGAGGGAGCTTCCCTCCGCTTGCTTGATGGTTAAACCTGCTGATTGGGAAGAGGGAGCTTTGGTGTAGCACACGCGGGGTGGGGGGAACAAAAAGCTAATCTGGGCGCCAGAAAACCCGAGGTCGATTGGGGAGAGAATCACACTCCTTGCTCCGTCCATAGAAGTCTCGCTGTGTGTAACGATAAAGTTGTTCGGTTATGCTTTGCATTGCCAGAGGTCACGTCGTTTCATGCTGGATGCAAAGGAGGATGATTGGAAGTGTGTTTGACCAGCATCTTGGCTTTGTCTGCAAGATTATATCAACGGAATGGCATGTGATGCCAAAGCAACACCTCTGAGGCCAGAGAATAGTGAAAATAATAATAAGGGGAGGATTTTGTGAAGATCTGTTTAACCTCTGCACAAAAATCCTTACAGTGGTGGTCGACCTCCCTCCAGTTTCAAAAGCTCAGCGCCTAAGAGCACCTCTTTCTGACTGTGTATTTTTTTGTTGTTGTTGGCTGTTCCTTTCTTTTGATTGTGTTTCCCAAGAGCGCAAAGCAGATAACAATATATTTAAAGGTCAGATAAACAGACCATCCTGCTCTTAATCTTGCAACATAGAAACAGACAAATCAATAGAAATATATATGCCATAATAAATGCCCGGATACTGCATTTTAAGTAACAAAAGCAATCATCCACTTCCCTTCCATTCAATTATCCTTCATAATTCCGTTCAATTGCTTTCATTCAAAAATCTACCATTAAAAATCTGATAGTTGATGAAAATGAAAATAAATAGTGATAGTGGGGTTTTTTGTTTTTTGTTTAAAAAGTTCACCTCCTTATTTAAAACATGTGATATATGACAGCAAAAGCTAAGATTATATGATGGGGGAGAGATGTCTCGCCATTTAATGGTTCTCTATTAGCATCGAACTATACTCCAGATAACTCTACAGTCTTTCAATAGAGACAGAGCCATTGATTCTGTTCTGGTCTACCCAAGTTAGTCAAACTGACTACATTTCAAATTTTATAGGATATGGAATTTGTATTCTGTGTTGGATGGTCCCTACAGAAGAGAAGATGATGTGATGGTCTAACAACAGGGATCTCCAAACTTGTCAACTTTGCGACTTGTGGACTTCAATTCCCAGAATTCCCCAGCTGGCTGGCTGAGGAATTCTGGGAGTTGAAGTCCACAAGTCTTAAAGTTGACAAGTTTGGAGACCTCTGGTCTACAGTAAAGCAGCAATTTCTTAGGAAAAAGGGAGCACATTCCAGAAAAGATGAGGGAGAGAGAAGAGGTATCAGTCAACCAGAATAGAGCTGGAAGGGACCTTGGAGGTCTTATAGTCCTGCCCCCTGCTCAAGCAGGAGAACCTATACTATCTCAGACAAGTGCCTGTCCAGTTATTGTCAGTAAACAGCAACCTCACCATGTGGGCCAGACTAAGAAAACGAATTCTACAGGAGGGCTGAAACTACATCGGTTGAGATTGGCTATAACAGCAGAATCTTGCAAATCTGATTGTAATTATATCTCCGTCCTCTTCTTATACTTCAGTGAAATAAGGAGGTGCTTATCAGCTGCTTCCAAATATTCTTTGATTGATTAATTGATTCATCGATTGAAGTCTATCTCATCTAGAGCCAACTCTGAGCAACTTAGCTGTCTGTTTTTGTAGTGAGTAAGAAGTATGATTTTGACGGAGAGGTATTTGTTCATAATGAAATGGAACAGAGAATGGAATGGAATGGAATAGAATAGAATGCAGAGTAGAGTAGAGTAGGGTAGAGTAGAGTAGAGTAGGATAGCATAGGATAGAAAAGAACAGAATAATGGAATGTAGAATAGAATAGAATAGAATAGAATAGAATAGAATAGAATAGAATA